AATAATAGGCTTCCATATAGGATTTCCATCCATACTTCTTTTGGCCTGACTCTCCGGTCTCTCCCTTCTCTGTCTCATCTTTCCCCCAGAGATCCTCCTTCCATTTTGTTCTCCTGTCTTCTCAGCCCCACCCCCCTAGTCTCTTTCTTCGAGTTTCTTGACCTTTACCCCCTCTTCTCCTTCTTGGATACACACATTTAACAGAGGCTGACATCTGTGTATGAGAGAGAGCATCCGGTTTGAGCCTGGGTTACCTCACTAAATGTTTTCCAGATTCATGCATTTTCCTGCAATTGTCATTGTTTCTCTGTACAGATGAATAAAACCCCATTGTATATATTTGCCACATTTCCCTTATCTATTCTTCAACTGATAGATATGTAGGTTGGCCTCATTTCTTGCCACTGTGAAAAATCCAGTGAAAAAGGTCATAGGATGCGGCATTCATTCTTTGGGTATATGCCCAGGAGTGCCAACAGTTGTTATTAAAGAGACTTTCTCCCACTGCAAGTTTTTGGCACCTTTGTCACATATCTGTTGACACTAAGTATGGAGTTGTTGTTTTTTTTTTTTAAAGACTTTCTTTTCAGTGTGATAGAACATGTGTTGTTTTCATGCCAGTGCTATACTATTTTGTTTATTATAGCTTTTTAGTGTATTTTGCAGCTAGGAAATTCTGCCTCCAACTTTTTTTGTTTTGTTATTTTTTGTAACTTCATATGAATCTTAAGATTTATTTATCAATGTACTGTAAAAATGTATTCGGTGGGGACTGGATCCAAGATAGCTTTGAGAATCTTTCTTCATACAGCTCAGTCTCTGTCTTTTATTTTCCTTTTCCCTGAAGGAAAAAAAAGATGGTCCCACTCATGATAAGAAAGAAAATCCCTTGCTTCTTATGAGTAACTACAGAACCTGAGAAACTATTAATATAATTAGTATACTTTATTCTTCCCTCTCTCCCTTTTTGAGATGGGGTCCTCACTACATAGCCCAGGCTAGCCTGGAACTCACACTCCTTCTGTTTAGGCTTCCAAATGTTTCCTCACTTTTGGGGAACAGTTTTCTTAGGTTTAGAATATTATGTTGCTAGGGGCTCTGTTTGGGTGAAGTTGTCTTACAATGCAGCCGCAGCTTGTGGTGGTGTGTCTTCTGCCTCTACCTCTCCAGTGCCAAGCCTCACACACTATATGACTGTATACTCAAACAAGTAAAAACCCATACTTTATCTTGAAGCTGCTCTAGCAAATTTCAAAGAAACAGCTTGGTTCTTCCCTCTAAGGTATCTGTGTAGCAGGACTGACTGTTCATATGAAATTCTCTTGGGGAAAAGAGGCTATATCCATAAGCAGAGACTACTGGTACCTTTCTGTTAAGCAAACCGAAGATATTTCCCCCAGAATGAGGCTGAACTCAGACGCAAATGAAGACTGTTGCCTGTCACTCACACAACGGGAAAGCTAGGTGAGACAGCAGATCCTTCCGCCTTTTCCTTTGTTCTCATGCACACTGACTCTCTCTACCCTGATAGCGTGCTGGGTATTCACACCGGAAACAGCAACAGCAATCAAGACGAATGCGGCTGCACACTGCTCCCCGGGAATGAATTAACAGAAATTTGCCTGCAATCTGATAGATTTAGATTTGTGGTTTCACACGCCAGCAAATGTGTGTTGGATTCCAGGGTGCACCAGGAGTTTCTGCTTGAGTGGGTCTCGGATGAGCCTGAATCCATGTCCCCAGGTGATGCTGATTATGCGGGTCGAGAGAACTGCACTCTGTGAAACATTAATCCTGAAACCATCAATACTTGATGAGCCTTCACAAGAGAGGCTCTCAACCTGTGGGTTGCAACCCCTTTGGGGGTCCTGTATCAGATATCCTACATGTCAGATATTTACATTATGAATCATAACCAGTAGCAAAATTACAGTTACGAAGTAGCAATGAAAACATTTTATGGCTGGGGGTCACCACAACATGAGGAACTGTATTAAAGCGTCACAGCATTAGGAAGTTTGAGAACCACTGATTTACAAAGTACCTCTTAGCTCTGTTAATCTCTCTGGTATTCTTTAATGACATTTATAAGTTTTTTTTTTCCCTAAATAGTGGAAACCTTTAATAACAACGCTGTATGTGAACTATAAGGCTAGACTTAGAGACAATTCACTCCACATTTTGCGGAGGATACTGAAACTCAAGTATGTCTGGGGCAAAGCCAGGAACAACCCACACATTTGATTCTAAGTCAGGGTTATGATCTCGGTTTCATAACTAAAAAAGAAAAGAAAAGAAGAGAAAAAGCAGTTTGCAAATAGGAGGTCTTAAAAATGTTCTTAGCCATGCCTGCTGCAATGCAGCCACACACAGTGTAGTCATTTTTTCCCACATTCAACAGTGGTCTCATAGAAGCACCTCACAATGTTGTTTCCACTTATTCTCATAAACATGATCTGTAATACTCACATAGCAAGAACATCACATGACACTGTTTCCCTCAAAGCCCTGGGCTGTTGAAGGATATGTGGCTGTAGGTGGCACACATCAGTCCACCAGAATATCCCATTCCAAAGGGCATCCTATGAAAATCACCTCATTTGGGACCACGCACAGCCCCATGCTCTGAACTCAAATCTTCCCTTAACTCAGGTTGAGACAGCCAAGTCATGTGCCAAGCCAGGAGCACAGAGGAGACTGAAACCAACTCTGAGGGACTTGTGGCAAGGCTCTCAGGATCTCCCTGGAAGGGTGGCTCCTGTGTTTATAGGGGGTAGGCGGGAAATGCTTAGGAATGTTTTCTACACAATGTGCACCTGGAGAACTTGACTGAAGCTATGTGGTAGCCATCCTTTCCCATAGGGACACATCCTAAGACCCCCTGAAACTACTGTCAGTTCTGATCTCAATATAAAGGGTCCACTTTAATGTAGGCAACAGTGGGTAAATTGGGAAGTTTCTCAGGTCATTGGCAGTAGGTCTATCCCTAGTCCCTAGTGCATGAACTGGCCTTTTGGAGCCCATTTCCTATGGAGAGAGATACCTTGCTCAGCCTAGACACAGTGGGGAGGGCCTTGGTCAGGCCTCATTGTGGTGATGCCTCAGGCTTTGACAGACTTCATTGACTACCTATGGGAGGCCATACCCTCTCTGAGGAGTGGATGGGGATGGGGTGAGGGGAAGGTAGAGGGAGAGGGATGAGGGGAGGGAGAACTGGGATTGATATCAAAAATTAAAAAATAAAATAAAGGAAAAAATTTAGAAAGAAAAAAAGGGGTCCACTTTACAAATGCATCTAAAGTCCAACTTATAAAGTAGTAGGAGGCAGGCTTAGCAATTACTAGTAGAACATAGTACAGTTAGGACATTATTTTGATGTAGTTTGGATCTTGACTATTCTCAAAAGCTCCTGGCTTAAAGCTTTGCATTTCCCCAGGAGATGCTTTTAGGAGGAAGCCACAGCTTGAGCATCTGGGGCCTAGCATGAGGTCTTGAGGTCACTGGTGACATGATTATAAAGGAGACTGTAAGACCTCGGTTCCACTCTCTTGCTCTCAGAGGCATTGGCTTTACTGTGAATATGCAGCCTTGGCCACAGCAATACGGTGAACTGACTGTAGAGACTGGAAGCTCAGGAAGTGTGAGCTGGCATCCCTTTCTCATTGTGAGTTCAGTGTGTCAAGCATTTGCTGCAGCAATGGAAAGGTAACTCAAAAAATTATATTAATGCGGGGTTCCTCTTAAACATACCATATTATAATCACCCTTTTAGTGTAACCATGAGATAACGCAGTGCCTACAAAAGAAGCTAAAGTGGTGAATGATGGAGTTAGGGTACTGTTGATCTGTTGTTAGCTGAATAAGCACAGCAGCACCACATGGACACACTGGACAAAGGGATGCTCCATGATGACTGGCGGGTGGGTAGTAAATACAGCATGGACACACTGGACAAAGGGACGCTTCATGTACTGGGCAGGGTGAGCATGATGGTTCAGGGAGAACAGTTCAGCAAATGCAGCAGCAGTGGGGATGGAGTACATCCTTCACACAGAGAAGGTTTGAACCCCAAAACACAATGTTTTGGAGAGCTTTACCAGCTCTGAAGCCAAGAAAAGCACAGAAAATACAGACATGAGAGCAGAGGGGGAGAGGCACTGTTTTCTCTGCACTGATACTAAATCGTCTCAGAAAGGAAACTTAATATGGTTTCTTCTTTGAAGGCTCCGTAAATCCTACAAGCAAACCAAGAAAAGAAATACAATCTTCTGGAATGCTCAGGGTAACCGAAAAATCCAACAAGAGCTGACAAGAAGATGAGGTTTCTTAAGACCATGCTCTGATACAGCACTGGACATCTCACCAAGCATAACCTCAGGGACCCTCAACTGCTCCTTAGAAAAAATGTCCACCCACTTGTTAGCGGTACAGGAAACTTCCATTTGTCCCTGCCAGCAGTTCCCAGGGAAAGGACTTGCCAATCTCTGGGATGGTTTTTTGAGGACTTTAGAAAGACATCAAGACAAATGATTGAAAAAACAAATTTATGACAACTGGGAAATAAGATGGCTACTAGTCCATTAACTATTGGGAAACAGACATTAATCCCTTCTGCTGTGACATCGAACTGTGATCTCCTGTTCTCAGATTTGTGCTATGTGTGTGACACTGTTACTTACATCCTCACAGCTTATTAAAATAGAGGGTGCAGAGCGCAAAATATTGCTAAATCTCAGTGGGAACGGTATACAGAATATGGGTATTCACTGAGCTGGTCTCCACATAAAAATGCTACCTTTATAGATTTTCTGACTAATGAATGAAATTTACACCATGAGACAAAGCTGACAAAGACAGTGCGGCTTGACTGGCAGCAGCCCCTCTTTTAGTTAGGAGGGCAATGGTCTCCTTGGCCTTTAACAGCATATCTAGGTCATTTCTAGAGACATCCCCTCTGGCCATGTGATCTGTGTAACAATAACCTCCTCCTCTCTCTGCAGGAAGCTGCCATGTCAAGCCCAAAGGTTTCAGTGCCCAGGGACTCATAAAAGAAAAAGCGACAGTGTCAAGGTAAGTTATCGGTTTATTAGGAAAGTACCAACACCACATCCTTCGAAATTACTGGAATTTTATTTGCCTCAGGCTTATGACTTGCAACCAAAGACATTGTGCAAAGAAAGCAAAGATTAAGTACACTTTAGGGAGAAGGAGACCATACCCATTGGTAACACAGGAGCTCAGGTGGACAAAAGAAGCCATCGGGACACTCTAGACACTGTAATAGTCAATAGCGTCAATAAAACAAGAGCCAAAGGGAAAAAAAAATTCCGCAATGTTTACAGTAGACATAAATCTTATACAAGTCAAAAAGCTTTTTTTTTGTTTGTTCTTCAGATCATAGAGCATAAAATGGAAAAATGTATATGTAGGTGATTTCTAACTACTGTACATCTGTCACCTAGTAAAGTTGCTTATATGTACCACAGTGTAAAAAACAAACAAACAAGAAAACAATACCGAACAAATGAAAATTTTGAAAATTGCCTGATGAAAAATAAAATAACCAGTGGCTTTTAATGGCTTCTCCCGGTCATCAGCGCTGTAGAAGATAAAAATCTCCTCATCAGGATAGATGATGGAAGCAAGCACATCAAACGGCTACCAAATTTGACCCACCTGTAGAAATATACTATCCACCCACGTCTTTTCCATCAAAAGCTTTTGTTTGTTTTTAATCTTTGAATCTTTGAGGCCCATTTGGTCACAATATGTTACAAATATTCGTGTGTGTGTGTGTGTGTGTGTGTGTGTGTGTGTGTGTAGATGCATGTTTTGTTTTTTTTACACCATGATATCATATGTTTGTCTGGCACTATCCTAAAGCTAGCTCTAGATGACAATGAGGACGGAGGAATAACCCAGTGCCCAAAGGGCAAATGAACTCACTGGGGGTGAAGGGAGAAAGGGGGAGAAAGTGTTCAGTTCTGCCACAGTCAGATCAAGTCCACACTGCTCACTCATCATCAGTCCCACTTGCCTCTGACTGTTCCTAAAAGAAAAACAGGAAAGAGTGAATGCACCCACATCTCCTGCAGTGGGAAGACGAGACACTTCTTTGAAGCCTGGGCACTCTATGCCGAGAAGGGGAGTGCTGGACTAACAATCCCTAGGCGAAGCCTGCCAGCCGCGCTTGCCGTCTGCCACTTGGGTTGCTGAGGTTTACAGCTAACCATTTCTATTTTTATCGGAGCTTTGGAAAAAAAACTGTCCCATACCAAGAAAAACATCATGCATTGAATGTCTGCTCATTGGTAAGCCACCTCAAGAAAAGGTGGTGTTTTAAATGTCACCAGAATATAGTAATTCTGATTCTAGAACTTTCCAGTCAGGCCAGAGTAGCAAAGTGTTGAAGGAAAAAAAAATCAAATTCAGGTATCTACTAAAATGGAGAAGTGTCTTTCCTGAATGAGAACTGTGTAGGCGCTGGGTGGCAGGGAAGCAGAGAGTTAATGCAGGGGACTGGCCAAGTTTCTGTCTGTTGTTCTCGCAGACCAACAGGGACAACAGTGCTAGACTGAGTGCTACATTTAAGAAGCTCCTCGACTCTGAATTCAGCCACTGCCATTCACTCCCTAGGGATCCGCAGAGTACCGGGGACCCAAGTCCCATCATAATACAATCATTAATTATTCTTCAGATGGGAAGGTGCCTGGTTTGAGGAAATGCTCCTTAAAATTTTTATGATTAAAAAAAAAAAAGCCTTCAGGTATTTAATCTCAGGGCAGCACAGCCAAAAACTCTGACATCACAAAGCCTTTTCCCTTCACCCCCCCCCCAACCATTATTTCATCTGATCAGCTATATACTCACAGCAAGCTGGGTGAGAGAGATATGAAATATTAACCAGCCATGAAGAAAACTGTATTTGCATGTACGTGCATGAGAAGATTGAAAAGGGGGAATGGAAACCAATGGAGGAGCTTTTCCCTGCAGTGACACACACAGCTTTAGACTCTTTGTTCTAAATTTCACAGCTCTGTTCCCATCCTCAGTGTGACCAGCTCCTCTGAGTCTAAGCGCGGAGGAGTGTGTACCCCAAGACAGTTTGGGAGCTGGAGACCAGGCATGCACACTCACGTTCTCATCCTGTTCCTCGTCACTGTCAAAATCGCTCACAACAGGTTTGGCTTTGCCTCGGTTTGGCCTTTTCTTGCCTTTCCCTGTGTCCCGGCCTTTCTCTTCTTTTTTATTGAGTTTGATTTTCACCTTCACAGATTTGGCTAGAGTAGAAACAAAAGAGACCACGGTGAGAGTTTAAAATCAGTAAAGCTATTATCCCACCCGCAGATAACAAGGTAGACTTCCCAAGAGCCTCACTGGCATGCCAGTCCACCCTGTCTAGTTATTCCCTGTTCCTAGTGCAAGCATGGTTCTCTTTGGAATATAAGTGATGTAGTCACTGGGAGAAAGACCTCAGAGCAGGGTTTGGAACCTTTCCCTGGTTCTTGATGGCTCAACGGGGTAGTGACCAAATTAAAAAAAAAAAAAACACATTAACTATTAACAAATCTTACAAAGGTTAAAAAAGGATGATTCCACTGTGTAAATTGCTCTATTTAGCTTAAAAATTCTAGTAGTTTGAGTAGCATTTTTAATGTAGAAAGAGAACAAAATGGAAATAAAAAATGTCAACATGCTTCCTTTACCTAGCTTTGTGGCTCTCTAGCGATTATCTCCAGAAAAAAAAAAAAAAGCATACTTAATAACCATAAATAAATTCTGTAGGCTATCATACCAAGAATCCAAGTAAGTATAGGTGTGTGTGTGCACACACACAGAGACACATTTGAAGTTTTATTTTGTTATTACATGGCTCTTCAGGCACACCCATTGTCCATGCCTTGCTCTTTCTTTACTTACACACAGGAGTTAGCAATATGTGTTAGCTCACACATATAGCTTAATTCTTTTCAACATCGGAAATATTCCCATGCATGATTTATTCTATGACTGATTTAACCAGTCCCCCAGTGATGGGCACTGCAACAAGCAAAGCCACTGTCAAGCCATGTTGGTAGCAGCCACACAGCACATTCTAAGGCTGCCAAATGCACTTTCAAGAAGACTTCAGCCAGATCGGAGGTTTACAGGCTACAGTGCTAAGGAGTGACAGGTGGCATGCACACCAGGGTTATGCCAACATCCAAAGGCAACGAGGGCAGAGTATTCTCAATGAACCTAGGCAGTCCTGAGCTCTGTGGCTGATGTGCTCAATTTCAACAGCGGAGAAAACTGGGCATGAGCGGGGCAAGTGTTCATGCCTTTAGTACCTGTGGAAATAGCCCGATAGGTGGAAGGGGCCAGATGCAGGGTCTTACCCTCTGACTCAGACTCCTCTTCATCATCTTCCTCCTCCTCTTCATTGCTTTCTTCCTCACTCTCCTCTTCTTTGGCGATTTTCTGCCGAGCACTCTTAAATACTGACTGTAGGACAATGGAGTCTTCATAGATCTAAACGGTCAAAGTGTCAACTGTTAACTATACCCCAAGGCCCGCAGACCCGCAATTGTTGTATGCACCTCCTTAGACAACACACACATACCACACACATGTACCCATGATGTTACTATTGCTTTCTCCCCCTATGTATACAGTGTGTTTGTTCCTATGTGGGTGGCCATGCATGTGGACGTCAGGAATCTTCCTCAGTCACTCTTTAGATTAGTCATGGAGGCAGGATATCTATCTGCTAGAATTACAGGCTAGCCCCTAAACCTACCCACATTCTGGAAATCTAAACTGGTCCTCATACTTAGGCGGCAAATGCTTTAAACATTGAGCACACGCTCCCCCTCTCCCTACCCCCCCCCACCCCGGCATAAAACAGAAAATCTAAATACAGGCACAAAGATACTCCAAGGAAGACCAAACACACTGAGCCAAACTCAAAAGAATGTGTTGGGACCTATGGGTGCAGAAGGCAGTATCTTTGACAACAAAATCAATATTTTAAATCACGCTTATTTAAGCGGTTCTCTTAAATACTGTGGCAAAGGAACCCTTTACAGGGTTGTTCCCTGTTGCCGAGCTTCATTGCAGCCAAAAGTCACCTAATACACTGTGCACCCTCCCCTGCTGAGAGGAAACACCACTGAAAGAAACAGGAAGTCTACCTAAACATAGTCCTTTCCCTCAAAAAATTAAGATAAAACCACCATCGCTTCTGGATATATATACCCAAAATAAGTAGAAACAGAGTCTTGAGGAAATAAATCTCCTCCACATGCCCATGTTCCGGAGAGGCACCGTAGCCAAGAATTCAGAGGGAACTCAAAGATCTGTAGACAGATCAGTGACTAAAGAAAACATGGCAGATGCAGTGACTAGGACTCAGCTTTTGGGAGGAAGTACCTCCTGTTACTTTCTACAACACAAAGGAACCCTAGGAAGCCAGTCACCAAAAGATGGACACCAAGCAATCCCACTCATGTCAAACTCACACAAAGTAGGTGGTTATAGGAACCGGGGTAGGGGAGAACTGCTAAAGGCTTAGGCCTTCGTCATTTCTAAGAGATGAAATACTACCAGAGACCTGTTAAGCACCCATGAGAGCAGCCTTACCACTACTGAACTCCACCCTTAAAAAACAGTTAAGGTGCCAGGGAGTGGTGGCGCAAGCCTTTAATCCCAGCACTCGGGAGGCAGAGGCAGGCAGATCTCTGTTAATTTGAGGCCAGCTTGGTCTCCAGATGGAGTTCCAGGACAGGCTCCAAAGCTACACAGAGAAACCCTGTCTCAAAAAAGAGAAAAAAAAAATGTTAAGGTGGTAAAGTTTATGTTGTCTTCTGACCACCATTCAAGGGCGATGAATAAATAAATGGGCCTTTGCCCTCTGGGATTAAATTCTTTTGCCATGGAGATGACCCACATCGTCAAGGAAGTGGCAGGTCAGCCTGAGGGAAATGGTGATGACAAGCAGGGAACAAGAAGGATAACACTGTGGAATGGGGGAAAAAAATCTGCCAGAGATCTGAGCTGACAAGTTAGGGTGAGGACAAGCTGGCTGCGGGGAGACAAGCATGCACAGGAGAAAGGTGAGAGGCCAAGGTGGAGAGATGGGTGGAGACATCACTGTCAATCCCCAGCTGTGAAAGTGGACTCTGCTAGACAACATGCTACATGCAGGATCTCTGTGTAACTTGACCTGTCCTGCTCCTTCTCTTTTACTGGATATGGGAGCATCAGGCCAGAAAGATAGATAGGGAAAAAAAAAATCAGTTCCCACCAAAGGTAAGTAGAATTGAGTTGTAATTAAAGTGGAAATGTCCTCCTCCTTATGCTCATAAATTCACTGTTATGTACAATGACTTCCTGACTGTGGAGAAGGGAATGTCAAGAATTTTTTTTAAAGTAACAATTAGAGGCACCCCCTATTCTGTTTTAAATCATTGTACTTTGAACTCTTCGTGTAAAGTTAAAGTTAGAAAAATGAAGCTGTCACTGCATACAGTCTCTGTAAGTACACAGATGGTACCCAGCCTTCTAGCATTACCTTCAATGGCTTTCTTGAACTCTTCCTCTAATGGGAAGATGAGCCTTGAAGGAAGTGTGAGAAGAAGCCCACCCAGATATCGCACAAAAAAACCTCCCTTTATTCACACTGACAGTAGAGAACAAGGCCTTTCGGTTTTCAGTGCTCTGCTGGGGTGGAGGCAATGGTTCCAAAAGTAGAAACGAAACGGAAATGCTCCACTTCCGAGAACCTCAGCATGGGTCAGGTTAGACACTTCTCAGACAACTTGACACATACCTGGGATCCCTCCAAGTTGAATGTCTGTGCATTGTGACAGAGAAGCATGACATCTTTCTCCAGGTCACCCAGGCTCCGGTACTTGTGATTACGAATTCTTTCCTGATGGGAATTTTGAACAAAACAGAAGAGAAATATGTAACTGTCCTTATTGTTGAAGAAGGCCCCGATGTCCCTTTGTCTTCACAGCACTCAGCCTTGCTGAGTGCGTGGGACTGCGAGACCCTCCCACCAGTGTTCCGAGGGCTGGGGAGGAAGGTGCACACAAGGGAGAGGCGGGTTCTCAACAACATGCAATGTATATAATCTGAGCTTTCGGTGATCAAATAACATGCATGGAAAGGATCAAGGTCAGCCCATCCCCACCTTTCCTGGGGCAAGCACTTGTGTAGGTCAGTGGTTAGCAACCAGGAGGCCACGACCCCAGCCCCAGCTAGCGTCACTCCCGAGCATCCATGCATCTCCTTTGTTTACTCGAAGAATAACAGTGAACACAGTATCTACCTTTATCTTTTTGAAATCCACTGGCTTCCTAATTAATTCATAGTATTCTGGTAACTCTTTCCTGGAAGGTAACTGAATGAAGACTTCACTGAGCTGTCGCCCTGAACTGCAGGATGGGGGAGACAAACAGAAACAAAGCAGATAAAGCACTCCTCAGGGAAAGGGTCGTTTCAGAGACTGTCAACAAAGCAAAGGAGGTCCCACGGATACAGGCATGGGGGCTCTGCACATGGAGGAAACGCCCACCACTGCATTGGAGGCTGATGCCCATTGGGAGGGCTTCAAATCACATGAACGCTCAGTTAGGTCCCCATTTCTGTCACAGGCACACGATGTGGCAAGGACTCTGTGGACTCCCCTGTCAGGAGGTAATCTCTTTTCATCATGACAGAAATATTTAAAATAACTTATTGAGCCCCAAGTCCCATTTTAAATGAATAACAGAGTTGGTTAAAAGAAAGCACACAGACATGACTCCCACGTTCCTTTGTCTTCAAACTCACTGTGTATTTAGAAAATATGTTAAAATATACAGAGCAATGCAAATGTGAAGCTGTTGTATGCTCTCTCCAGCCCTTCCTGTCTCATTCCTTTTACAGTGTTCTACAAGTCATGAGTCCCTTCTATTATCCCTTGCCCGAGGAGCCCCTTCACGTCCCCTAAATGCACTTATGTGTGTGGAGCAATTTGGCAATTCAGGAGAGAGAGAGAGAGAGAGAGAGAGAGAGAGAGAGAGAGAGAACAATTGCTAATGCGTGCACGCTGCATGTTTATAGAGTCTGTGCTGTACCCTCCCCCCAAAGAATGGTGGGTTTATTGAAAGCAGGTTTAGGAGAGAAATGCTTTAGCGTTCTGTCACTCGGAAGAGCAGGCTGCAGAGCAACACGGTTTTCACATCACTTAAGGCTGGGAGCAGGCACAGTTAAAGCCACAAAGAAGGATAATTGAGGTTCAAGACCCCAGTGCCTGATTTGGCCTCTCTAAATCAATAACAGCTTATGATAGATGGTCTAGTCATTTTCCACAAAAAATCTCGCTGCCCTTTTGATGGCATCTCTGGTTCCTTTGTGACGCCAGAAACATCAAAAGATAATCATAAACCCCTGGCATGTAAATTTTGGAAGGTGACTGCACCAGTGTTCGGGAACGCTCAGAGGCAGTGGCAAGGCATGAGTGACAATATGCTGTTTTAATCCACAGTCCCAGTTGTATAATTAAAAAATAATCATAATGACAGTTATCATAAAAGAGGCATGCGCAGTAACTCAAGCGGTTGCCTAGCAACCGAAAAAAAGGGAAAGGGGGAGGGCGGAAAAAAAGGGAAGCTGCCGATAGTCAAAGGATGGGCAAGTTTTTCGGCCATAGAGGGTCACTGTTTTGTTTTATTTTTAATGCATGGAGGGGCCTCATGAATACAACATTGGGGACAAACACAAGAGGTTTAAAAACAAGACTACTGAAGGCTAGGAAATTAGATTCTTGGATTACTGCGGTGAGAACCAAGGTGTTCTCTACCCTTCCATTCCCAGCAGGCTATAGCACAGTTTCTTATGTACAATCAATTCCAACATAGGTCCATATTTTCCTGCTATTTTGGAATGTATAAACTCATAACTCACATTTAACCTGTTTTAAAAAGAATAAATGAATGGCACCAAAAAAAGCCCCGCCCCCACCCCACCCGATCCCCCCCCACCCCACCCCCATCTCTCTGTCTCTCTCTCTAATTCTGAGAATTTTCTTTAAAATTAACATTCTTCAAAATCTGGCATCAGTCCACACACCAGACCTTCCTGTAGTCCTGGCTTTAATACCTGACCCTCAGTGACATCTTCAATGTCATTTTCTACATCTCCAACAGATGGTATCATTTTTCTATTGACAAATTACAAGCACATCTTTGCTCTGCACGCTGGTGATGGACAGACTCCTGATTTCACCTGTGCGCCTGGGAAGTAAGAATTAAACACCATGGACTAGACCCCAGAATACACTATAACTCTGAGAGCACAAAGCCACAAAGGTCACCTGTGCCTGCCTCCTCTGTCCTGTCAAACCTGCAGGCCCTAGGTCCACTAGGGAGACAAGTCCAGAGTCAGCCATGCTCATAAGAGAACTGAATGTCTCCAGAGTTGGTGTCGGAACTATAAAATGAGAATAAATTTATCTTTTTTTTTTTTTTTACTTAAAAAGTAAAGCCCCTTTGGAGTAGACTCCCCTTCCTGCTTTTTCTGTCCCCCTGCCCCAAAGAGAGAATGAAGCACAAGGATGAAGGGGAAGCCATCCAAGGAAGTTGTCTTCCAGCCACCGAGAGGCTTCTACCTTCCTATACACACCTTTGTCTGGTGACCAAGCCCTCCAGGGTGTGGCCAAATGCCCCAGTTGTTTTACTAACAGCTTCTCTGTCCAGCAGAACAGTCTCTTTCTCTTTGGGAAAATCCCTGTGTGTGTGTGTGTGTGTGTGTGTGTGTGTGTGTGAGAGAGAGAGCGAGAGAGAGAGAGAGAGGGGCGCGAGAGAGAGAGAGAGAGGGGCGCGAGAGAGAGAGAGAGAGGGGCGCGAGAGAGAGAGAGAGAGGGGCGCGAGAGAGAGAGAGAGAGGGGCGCGAGAGAGAGAGAGAGAGGGGCGCGAGAGAGAGAGAGAGAGAAGAGAGAGAGAGAGAGAAGAGAGAGAGAGAGAGAGACTGGTTTCTTGTATCTGGTGCTAGAGGCGGTGAGATAGAATCCACTCCAAAGCCCGAGGACACCCAAACCCATGGCAGTCCTTCTGCCTAGGATTACAGGTATTGCTAGTTCTGGTTGAAATCCATCCCCCTTCAAACAGTTTATAACCCTCCCACAATCAAGACCCATTCTCCATGAAAGTGGAGTCCTGTCACCTGAATATTACTTGTGTTTAACTTTCCGAACCACCCTTCTCAGAATCCTCTCTCCTTCCCACAGGATTCCAGCATGCTCTATTGTTCAATCTTGCCCTGTCTTCCCTTCCAGGGCAATGGCTTGGTGGCAGCCCAGGAACGTGAGATCTAGGCTTGGGCAGCTGGGGTTTTCATGTGACCTGGAGAATGTTTAACACTTGAAGACCTATAAAATGCACTGGGATAACAGAACAGTTTTGGAAGGACTGCAACAGTTAACGGACCCCTACCCCCCAAAAAAAGTATAGGTTTAAACAAACAAAAAATAAAGTCACCTGAAAAATGAACTAATTATAGAATGGTTTGGAGAAGGTGGCCTGTTTCTGTTGAAGCCTTTATCCTACCCTAGGTAGTTTTCATTATGTTAATTTATGCAAATTAATGCCTAAGTATACATTATTGAGTACACTACTTCCTGTGGCAAAAGTGACACTCCTTCCCTGAGTCCACAGACAGCTTTTTGCACCCATTCTGCACATCGATCTACCTCACACTAAGATGTATGACTCAACAAGGATACAGGGCTGGAGCTGGAAGAGAAAGATCCCCCTGAACTCGGGGCTTACAGGAGCTGGTGGCAAGCACTTTACTGTCTACCCAGGTAAATGGACACGGGGATATGCTGGCTATGTCATATGTATGGACAGAAGCACCGTGCTCCACCCAGAAACGGGACTTGGAAACCCTGCATGCAAGGTGCACATGGGCACATTGCTGAGATTTAGTTTGTTATGTGTCATCGGGAAATTTACCTGTTAGGTACCACAGGACATATGCTTTAGACCAACTTGCTTAGAAATACCTTCCTTTTAAAAGAATGGCTGGCTGTCATGTCTTCCAATGATTCCTTTGAAGTCCAAAGCATTAAGTCTGACACTGGATAAAGCTGGGCATTTTCCCCTGTTTTTATGACCCTCCTCCACCCCTTTTCTTGAGACAGCCTCATATGTAGACAAAACTGGCCCAGTTTATTATGGAGCTGAGGTTAACCTTGAACTTCTGATCCTCTGAAGAGCAAGGATTAAACCTATATCTGGTTGGTTCTCGGGGTGCTGGGGATCAAATCTGGGGCTATGAGCATGCAAGGCAAATACCCTACCAGCTGAGCTACATCCCTAGCCTGTATTTCCATCTGACAAAGCTGATCAGTTGACTTAAATAGTAGTGGAAAAGAGAGAACCACCTGAAGCCAAAATAAGTCTTGTTTACTTTAAGCAACAAAAGAAAAACTATGGCTTACTTCATAAGAAAAATGAAGTCCTGTTGGCATTGGTGGCGCACGCCTTTAATCCCAGCACTCAGGAGGCAGAGGCAGGCGGATCTCTGTGAGTTTGAGGCCAGCCTGGTCTCCAGAGAGAGTGCCAGGATAGGCTCCAAAGCTACACAGAAAAATCCTGTCTCAAAAAACAACAACAACAACAACAACAACAAAAAAAACAAAAAAAGAAAGAAAAGAAAAGAAAGAAAGAAAGAAAGAAAGAAAGAAAGAAAGAAAGAAGAAAAATGAAGTTATGATTTAGGACACCCACTTGGGGTTGGAGGGATGGCATAGGGAAATTATTGCAGTTCTGAGGGTATCCTACATAGGAAGTAATTTGGGAAGAAAGCCTAGAAACTAGAATGACAGACCTATCATGGCAGGAGGTGAGAAATGTTGCTTTCTCCCCAGCTTCCTGGGGGAGCTTCATATACACTACTGATAAACTTCTCAAGATCACAGCTGTTCCCGGATTGAAGGGACCCCAGAATTTGGGCCAGGTATTAATCAGGAGCCATGAGCATACCACAGTCACTAGTGAGCTCTCTTGTCTGGGCCTCTTACTGAGCCGTGACTGGTGCCATACAATCAGTATGAGATGTTCTTTTGTTTCTAGTAGCTGGGTAGGGAGCTGTTAAAACTACCCTACATATCAAGGGAGAATACAGATATCTATACCACCTTCCTCACAAATGAGGCTGCTGTGTGAGGAAGCCAGGCCCTTGCTCAGCATCACCACCTGACTTCATCCAGTCCAGGAACAGTGGCACTCTGATGCTGTTCTAGTTATTATTGCCTCCATGGGGCCAAGATGGCTCGGCAGTACCCACACATACCACCAAGCCAAATGATGTTAGTTCCACATCCAGATCCAAATAGTAGAAGGAGAGAGCCAATTCCCATAAGTTGTCCTGTGACTTCCACATTCGTGCC